CAGAATGGCTGAGGCTGGAAGGGACCACTGCAGGTCATCTAGTCCAACCTCTCTGATCAACCAGGGTCACAAATACAGGGACGCAAATGTGGATGGAATTTCTGCTTTTTGTTCCAAGTGTCTCTTGCTCACACAGGTATTTCCAAAGCAAGGGGATGTTTTCCTCTTCCCCTGCCCTCTTAATTTTTACATTTATATCAAGAACAAAGTTTTGCCTTACTTGTAGTTACTAACAAATTCTGCAAGATAAGAGACTTGGCAGAAGACCTTTCACAGCCCTCATCTGTAGGACACATTGAATCTTGAATAAAAGCTGTTTTCCCCACAACTGTCTCAAAGGAAAAAACAAAGATGAAGAGTTTCAAACAGAGATTAAACTCATCCTTCACACGCCCTGGCTGTGGTATGCCCAAAAGGAAAAACAAAAAAGAAAAGAGAATCCTAGAGGAAAAAGAAGAGATGAGATCTGGTACTTAACACTAAGGGGATGGCAAGCTCTGAAAGTTCATCTCACAGTCTTTCCCCTCAAGTGACTTGTGTTTCAATTCACAGAATGGCTGAGGCTGGAAGGGACCACTGCAGGTCATCTAGTCCAACCTCTCTGATCAACCAGGGTCACCTACAGCCCATGACTCAGGATTGTGTCCAGATGGCTCCTGAGCATCTCCAGGGAAGGAGACTCCACAACCTCTCTGGGCAACCTATTCCAATGCTCAGTCACCCTCACAGTAAAGTTGTTCTTCCTCATATTCAGATGGAACTTCCTGGGTTTTAGTTTATGCCTGTTTCCTCTTGTCCTATCACCTGGCACCATCCTCTTGACAACCACCTTTCAGATACTTACATACATTGACCAGATTCCCCATGAGCCTTCTCTTCTCTAGGCCAAACAGGCCCAGCTCCATCAGCCTTTCCTTACAGGAGAGATGCTCCAGACCCTTAATCATTCTAGTAGCCCTTCCCTGGGACTTGCTCCAGGAACTCCACGTCTCTGTTGTACTGGGGAGCCTGGAACTGGACACAGTATTCCAGGTGAGGCCTCACCAGGGCTGAGTAGAGACTCCTTGACTTACTGGCCACACTCTTCATAATGCAGCCCGTTGGCCTTCTTGGCCACAGGGGCACATTGCTGGCTCATGGACAACTTGTTGGGAAGCCAGCAATGTGCCCCCGTGGCCAACTTGTTGTCCATGAGAACTCCCAGGATCTCCAGGTCCCTCTCTGCAGAGCTACCTTCCAGCAGATCAGCCCTCAGCCTGTACTGGTGCAGGAGGTTATTCCTCCACAGGTGCAGGACGCTGCATTTGTCTGTTGAATTTCAACAGGTTCCTCTGCCCAGCTCTCCAGCCTGTCTAGATCCTTCTGAATGACAGCGCAGCACTGGGGTACCATCTGCTCCTCCCAGTTTTGTATCATCAGCAAACTTGCTGAGGGTACTCTCTATCCCTTCATCCAAGAATAAGTTAAACAATACTGGAACCAGTACCGACCCTCAGGGGACACCACTAGTTACGGGTCTCCCGCTAGACTCTGTGTCGCTGATCACAACGCTAAGACCTGCCATTCATCCAGTTCTCAATCCATCTTGCCATCTACTCATCCAGCCTGCACTCCCTGAGCTTGCCAATGAAGATTTCATGAGAAACAATGTCAAAAGCCTTCATGAAGTCCAAGTAGATTTTACAGATTTTTACCAAATCCAATCTGCTTCTAATGTAGCTGAACTGAAAAAACAAAACCCCAAATCAAATAAAAAACCTCACCTTTTTGCATTTTGACAATGAAGCATTTACTAAAAATAAAGGTATTGCAGAAGACAACTGTCTTATGACAACTGTCATAAGAGGCCTCCACAGATATTATTATCCTAGGAGAGGATTGAGATGCATAAGGTGTTTCACAAATTAGCATTAAACTTCAATTAAATTTCAATAAATTAACATTTCAAAGTTAGGCCAAAAATAGAAAGGTTTGAGAACTGGAAAGAAAGGAAGAAGAGAAAGAAGGGTCAGCAATGAATAAAAAAAGCTCAGTATTGCAACAATTTGGAACTTTTATCTAATAAACTATTGATTTAGAAATACAGGTGTTTAGGCCAACTTCATATGCCTTATCACTGACAGATCACAAAGCACAAACACACGCCCATGACACAGAGCCAGTTCACCTCTCAACACTACATATTAGTTCCAAAAATGGTAGAGACCTTCCCCTCTAGATTATAAATCAATGCATCAATAACAGTAAGGAAAAAACACACGTCACAATAGCACAGTGGCACTTCTCAGACCATCACATCCAAATACAAGCAGCCATCAAGGATACGAGCACAGTCCCACAAGACAGTAATAGATAGATCCCTTGAAAAGAGACTTGCATCAGGAAAAAATGGGTTTGGAAGTATGGGGTGGGGTTCATTCTGTCTAGGAGACATTCTTGTTTACAACTCCTGTCTACCTCAGAAAAACCGATTTCTCAGTGATCTTTTTTGCTTGAGAAATAAGAAATAAAGAACAAGCTTTGACAATGAGCCAGAGAAACAGACTGGGAGCCCGTGCAAATTAGCAGGCTCGGTGTTCTTGAAAAAAAGCCTTTCCTCCAACTGTCTTAGATGTAAGCCATCTCACTCAGTTGACAACAAAAAGAGAGCTCAGGTTTAAAGAGGTTGACTAAATATTCCTTCCTTAGAGATCATTGTTTACTGTCCTCATTCTTCTGCCATGTGATCGTCTCGTTCAATTTTCTCACTGCCCAGTCTCTTCCCGAAAGCATTTGGCAATTGTGACCTGAGCTTTGGATGGAAAAACACAGCAAACCTTTACACATCGTGGAGCAAGAAAACACAAGCCCTGTGTTGGTTTTTTTTTCTTTTTTGTTTGTTTTGTGTTTTGTTTTCTTTTTTAATCTGTGCACAGGTCACCTTCAACCAAAAGCAGTCCTTTAAATACAGAAACCCACATACAACTTTGTGATCAGAAGCCAAGTCACAAAAGCAGACTGGTGCCTGTTAGCAGGGAAGAGCTCAAAGAGAAAGTGAAGAATACCCCATGGCATCAAAATGAGCAGGACAACCATGCAACACTTCATGCAGGTCACCAGTGAACATGGATGAGAACCAGATAACACTTTGAGAACAGAGACCAGGTAGGGTGGTACGACTGTGGACACACCTCAGTTACACAGAGAGACTGCTTACCCTCAGTTTTAGTGGTAGTACCATCTTTAGGCAAATTAAAAAAAAAATAAGGAAACGGTTAATAGGGAAAATTAGTAACATCAATAGAAGTGGGCACTATATATTAGCTACAGAAATATGCAAAAAAATTAACACAAAGAAATGAAAGAAGTTTGAGCAGCTTGATGTTTCTCAAGAAGATGCTTCCAGGTTTTCCCTCCTGCAATAACCAACGTTTGCCATACTCCATTTCCATTGTTTGCCTCAATACTTCTCTCGTGGGCACACGCAGGTGACAAATGTCCTTACTAGCTCAAAAAGAAATCAGGCTCCTCAGAAGTAGCCACATTTGTTTCATTTAAGAGTAATGCTGCTTTTCTCCTACAGTCTCTTCTAAAAGCAAGACTAACACTGTATTCAGTCCCATGGCTTCAAGGACCAAGTCAACATTAGTAGATACTTCCCACCCTTTTCTGTTCTTCTTCATAACGTAAGATTGTTCAAAAGCAGTTTTGCCACTGAAGCCAGTATGCAGAGCTGACTGAAAAACAGCTGCATCTGTAAGCTTGAAAGCACGCTATTACATGATCAACTTCATGTTCTGTATCACATTTTCACTGCAATGTATCTAAATCTTGAACCAAGAATGAACAATTTAAATCAGAAT